ATATCAACCAAGCTATGAGGAATGCAGACTTACTGCTGGGCCTCAGAAATAACTAGAACTGTCCTTGATAGTTTTCCCTTCAAGTCAAGCATTTTGTTGTTTAAATAAACTTCTTGTTTAAAATTTAAAAAAAAAGGAAAGAAAAGAAATAACTAGAACCAACTCTCATGGCTACCTCACTAGTCTCCAGTTTTTCTCTGTATGTTATTTCATTTTCCTCTCCTGAAGCAATTTGGCTTTCCTTGCATAGTAGAAAACATGCCTGGTGATAGCTCCCAAGATTTATATCTTAGAGCTATGGTCACCCAAATAAGAATGAACTGACTTGCTGCTTTTCATGTCTAACTCGAGAAAGAGCTGTGATTGGCCCAGCTCAAAGCAACCGTTGGGTGTGTGGAACAAGTTCATGTTTTAGAAAATGACTGTTTCTGTGTAATGCAGATGAATTGGAAGAAAGAAAAGAGGGTTCCTAGGAGAGGCACTCTTGGTGGACAATTCCATATGTACTGTGGTAAGCAGTCTCCCAGATGGCCCTGATGAGCCTTGTCTCTCTATTCACAAATTTGAACAGTCCCTTCCCACTTTGTGCTTGGGCTGGTCAATACGACCAACAGCACATGACAGAAGTGATGGTACATCACCTTTGAAAGTAGTGTGGATGGAAAAAGGGATTCTATGAAAAGTGACCTCACAGGGTGATGTGAGCATAAATTCCTAACTGGGCAGGTCATGGTGGGTAGTCACACCCCACGCAAATAACTTCTTTCCTACAGGGCTTATCTTTGCCTTAAGAAAGTCCTGCCCATTGTTTCTGTGCATCTAGGTTAACTACTTGAAATGCCCCTTTTCAGACCCTTCCTTCTAATACATGACCCCACTTTCAGACCCCTCCTTCTAAAGTGTGAGAGCACATAATCTTAACTAGTTTGTAGTACTATCCTGCCCTTGCTTTCTCCCAATCTCATGTAATCTTCCTTACATCCCATCTTTTAATTTCAAATGCATAAAAGAAGCTACAAAACTGTTATTCTTGGGAGCATTTGAGACTTTAATCCCCAGCATACAAGTATGTCATCAGTTTGGCTCAAATAAACTCATAAAAATTTTCTAAAGGTTTGGACGTTTCTAAAGTCGACAGTAGTATATAAAAAAGATGCTGGTTTCTGTCTTGGGCGCACTTTTTCTCCATCTTGCATTTCTCACTCTGATGAAAGCAAGCTACCCTGCTGTGAAAAGCCCTTACAGAGAGGCTCACCTGGTGAGGAGTTGAAGCTTTTGGTCAAGGACCAGCAAGGGCCCAAGGCCTGCCAACAACCACGAGTTAGCTCTAAAATGGATTTTCCAGTCCCTATTGTGCCTTGAAATAACTGCAGCCTGGCTGACAACATGACTACCTTATAAGAGACTTTGAGACAGAAGTATCCAACTAAGATGCTCTTAGATTCTCAGCCCTCGGAAACTATGAAATAATAAATGTTCACTGTTTTAAGCTGCTAAGTTTTGGAGCAATTTGTTACATAGCAATAGATAACTAATACAGTATCTATTATAGGTTCCTAAACTTTTAATTACAGAACTTTTTGGTTTGGAAATTTTGCCTGCAAGAAATTTATAATTAGTAGTACTTTTTTCCTTTTATTAATCACACATGTGCCTCTCAATCAGAACTTATTATGGGTGATATAACCAGTGATATCAGACTGAAAGAATTTCATTCTGGTCAAAAGCAAAAACCAAACAAACAAAAAACAGACCAAAAAAAAAAAATTCCCTTGATATTTTAAGGGACATTTGGCAATGCCTGAAGATATTTTTGGTTGTCACAACTTGGGGTTTGGGGGTGTTGGATGCAATGCTTA